TTTTTTTCAACCTGATAATAGGCTTCTGTGAAAATCACACTTTAATGTCATATTTAATGGTGAAGATATTGCTTTCCTTCTAAGACTAGGAAAAAGGATAGTCACTCTGTCCACTTCTGTCTAGTAATGTCCTGGAGCTTCTAATCAGTATTTGGGGTGGAAAAAATTAAAGGCATACATTTGGGAAAGGAAGTACTAAACCGTCTTTATTAGTATTGTCTTATATGTTTGTTTCTTTTTAAAAATTTTTATTTTAAGGTTTGGGATACATGTGCAGAACGTGCATGTCTGTTACACAGGTTATCATGTGCCACAGTGGTTTGCTGCATCTATCAACTCATCACCTAGGTATTAAGCCCCAGATACAGTTTCTTTAAGAATGTTGAATATTTGCCCCCACTCTCCTCTGGCTTACAGGGTTTCTGCTGAGAGGCCCACTGTTAGTCTGATGTGCTTACTCTTGTAGGTTTCCTGGCTATTCTCTGGCTATTCTTTTTTTTTTTTTTCCATTTCAACCTTGGATAATCTGATGATTATGTGTCTTGAGGTTGATCATCTCATGGAGTATCCTACTGGCATTAGCTTTATTTCCTGAATTTGAATGTTGTTCTGTCTGGCTAGGTTGGGGTAGTTTGCCTGAAGGATATCCTGAAAGGTGTTTTCCAACTTGTTTTTATTCTCTCTCTTTCAGGTACTTTAATCATTCGTAATGTTGGTCATTTTACATAGTTCCATACTTATCAGAAATTTTGCTCATTCCTTTTCATTCTTGTTTTTCTAATCTTCTCTGCCTGCCTGATTTCAGCAAGATAAACTTCAAGGTCTGATATTCTTTCTTCCACTTGATCAATTAGGCTATTGATACTTGTGTTTGTCTCACAAAATTGTCCTGCTGTGTTTATCAGTTCCATCAGGTCATTTATGTTCTTCTTTAAACTGGTTATTCTAGTTAGCAGCTCCTGTAGCCCTTTATCATGGTTCTTAGCTTAGGTTAGAACACACTTTTTTTTTTTTTTTACCTCAGTGTTTTCTTATTAATCACCTTCTAAAGCCCACTTCTGTCAGTTCACCCATCTCATCCTCTGTCCAGTTCTGTGCCCTTGCTGGAGAGGTGTTGTGATCATTTGGAGGAGAAGAGGCACTCTTATTTTCTTGAATAAGGTTTTGTGTAATGTCAAATTGTAGTTTGATAATAAAAATTCCCTTCAGGAAATTTCTATGAAGATTCCTTTTCTCTAATAATTATCATTATTTTAAAAGTATAATTGATATAAAAAGATTATACTTTATTGCTATTAATAATTAAATTTCAAAAGAAATAAGATCCTGATTGCAAATAGCTAGATTCCATCTTGTTCCTGTCTACATTATACATTCTAAGACCAAGATTTGCAGTTCATTTAAAAAGAAAGCTGCCTGGCCTACCTATGAAAGAGACATTTTTGATGGGTAGGAAACAATTTAATAATTAAGAAGAAACAGTCATAGGAATTCCTGAGAGGTCTTAGGAAGACACTTCTTGAAAAGTGCCTAAAATGAACAAGTCACCCCAAATACTTTTTAAAATTAAATTAGCATTTAATCTCTGCTTTTATAAGCAGAAAGCAGGGAAAAATTAAGTTCTATAATACTAACCACCTATATTTGTCAGTGTTAAAACTGAAGAAGACAAATTTAAAAGAAGACATGCTTTGAGGATGCCAATGGGATACAGAAAGAAGAACGCAGAAAGAATCATTCTGTGCTGCCAGCTGACCCCAGAGAATGTTACAAAGGAGGGGTGCTGTTGGCCTGGAGCCACCCTTCTCCCAGTATTCCCCTCCATTGCTGGAGCTCCCTGCACCACCCCCACTTCCGCCCCCTGCCCCCCGTCTCTAAGGGCCAGCAGGGCCATCTGATGACATGCCCTCTGCCCCAGCTTCCAAAATGATCACTTGAACCTCCTCTTTATTCCCTTTTTGCCTTAGTGACCCTTTTCAGCTAAGTGTTATGAGAAAAGCTATTGATCAAAGTAATCAATGATAAAGAATAAAAAGTCTTAATATTCTATGAGGTGTTTCCATTTTAAAACATGAAACTGGTATATGGAAAATGTCAGGTAGACAGCAGTGGCTCAATGAGAGATTCTTTTTACCATCCCTCTAATTCTTTTCTTCATTGGTTACTCCAAATGCATTATCTCCTTCAACCAAATCACAGCAAGCTGTGCAACTGATTCCTGTTCTGCACACCCTGAACAAAGATACTGGTGGGAAAAGTGTGCAAGGGTGAAGGTGAACACCTGTATCCTTCAACAAGCCATTCATGGATTCATGATGAGGTAAGTTCAATATTATCCTTCCAAGGAATTCCACTCCAGGGGTGGAATTGATGGCAACCTGCCATATTCATTTGAAGATTTGTGGGGGACCCTTCATGGCTCCTCAACATCATCACGCCCACTCTGCCTACCCCTAAGTTCAGCCCACCGTAGCCCCTAGATCAGACAGTCCACAAGCCATTACTGAGTGGCCCTATGCCAGGTCCTGGAGCCACCGGGGTCTTGTGTTAGGTGCTGGAGATGAGAGGGTGATTATGACAATCCAGGGCCTTCAGAGAGCACAGTCTGTCAAAGCAAAAGACTGTCAAAGCTACGTTCTGTCCCGTGCAAAGTCTAGTCAGCCTTGGCAAGTTTTGTTGCTTTCTAACTTGTAAACTTGAGCATACCGGTAACAGTTTCAGAGGCTCCCTTGTCTGAACATAAACATAGAATCAGCCTCTTCGATTGAGAGGGAACACCGTTTATTCTACACAATTGACACCTATGCAGAGCAGACCTATGAAAAGAAATTTCTCAAACAAAGCTGGGGGCAAATAAACACAGCAGTCAGTGGCTCATGTTTAATCTAACGTTTTTTTTTTTTTTTTTTTTTTT